GGCTGTGCGCGGGGGGGGCCGGGGGGGACCCTGCAGCACCCTCGGAGCTGGGATGGCCCAGCCAGGGTGGGAAGGAGCTCACAGGAGCCACCCTCTGCTTTGGCAGTGCAGGAGCATCCCTGTGGGGTGGGATGTCACCCTCCCAAGGGTCCCCTTCAAGCCACCCAGCTTGAGCTTTGCAATGGGGGACAGAATCATGGAGTTGTTTGGGTTGGGAAAGGCCTTCAAGACCACCCAGCCCAACCCTTCCCCCAGCCCTGCCCAGGCCACCCCTGCCCCGTGTCCCTCAGCACCATCTCCAGGGCTTGGAAACCCCTCCAGGGATGGGGACTCCCCCCCTGCCCTGGGCAGCCTGGGCCAGGCCCTGACAACCCTTGCCAGGGAGAAATTGTTCCCCAGATCCAACCTCAACCTCCCCTGGCACAACTTGAGGCCGTTCCCTCTTGTCCTGTCGCTTGTTCCTGGGGAGCAGAGCCCGACCCCCCTGGCTCCACCCTCCTCTCAGGCAGCTGCAGAGCCAGAAGGTCTCCCCTCAGCCTCCTTTGCTCCAGGCTGGACACCCCAAAAAGCTGGACCCCCCAGCTCCCTCAGCTGCTCCTCACAAGTCCTCCAGCCCCTTCTCCTCCTGCTCCAGCCCCTTCCCCAGCTCCACGGCCCTTCCCTGGACACGCTCCAGCCCCTCCATGTCCTTCTTGTCCTGAGGGGCCCAGCCCTGCCCCCAGGACTCCAGGTGCCCCCTCCCCAGTGCCCAGCACAGGGGCACCATCCCTGCCCTGCTCCTGCTGCCCACCCTGGGGTGACACCAGCCAGGATGCTGGTGGCCTCCTTGGCCACCTGGGCACATGCTGGTTCATCTCCAACCTCTGTTGACCAACCCCCCCAGGTCCTTTTCCCCCAGGCACTTTCCAGTCCCCCCAGGAAACAGCTGACAGTGGAGGTGCCCACTCTAGCATCATGGCTCCAGCTTCCCTTGCTGCCCTGCCCAAAAAAATGGGATCTTGGCTTTGCTTCCATCCGTGGCTGCTCCTTAATGCTTGGGTGGCTCCAGCCTCCTCCCTGCCAAGCCTCACCTCAGGCACCTGCCTCCTAACCAGGGCAGCAAGAGCTTCTGCTGTGGTGATGGGCACTGCTGGGCAGCCCCCCCCATCCCCCCTCGGGGCTGGAAACCTCCTCCTGGTGCTGGAGCTGCCTGGAACTGGGGAAGTTGGAGAGGGGGAGTCACCCCAGGAGCTGGTGTGACCACAGTGTGATCTTCCAGGTGGAGGAGCTGACTAAAAAGCTGAGCCAGCACGAGAAGGCCTCCCGAAGCCAGCAGCAGAGGGTCAAGGTGAGAAGTGGGGACCCCAGAACCTGGAGCATACTGGTGGGGTGGCGTGGGGCTGCAGGGTGACCCCCCCTCTTCCCTGCTGCAGGTGCTGGAAGGGGAGCTGCAGGCAGAGGCCACTCGGCAGCAGGAGAAGGTGGCAGAGCTGCAGGCGCAGCTGGCCCAGAAGGAGCAGGCAGCTGAGCACTACAAGGGCCAGGTAGCACCAGGGGCTGGCACGGCCACTGTCCCCGTGTCCCCCTTCAGCAGCACCCTGTGGGGACGCTGGATGGGTTTTCCCTTTGCCATCCTAGATGGAGAAAGCAAAAACTCACTACGATGCCAAGAAGCAGCAGAACCAGGAGCTGGCGGAGAAGCTGAAGGCGATGGAGCAGCTGCAGCAGGAGAACACGGAGCTGAGGAGCGAGGCAGAGAGGTTGGCCAAGGAGCTGCAGCAAAGTGTCCTGCAGGCCCGGGAGGCAGAGCTGGGCTGCAGGAACCTGGGCAGCCAAGTGCGCAGCCTGGAGGCTCAGGTGGGCAAGGCAGGGGGGCTCCCTCCTCCCGTCCCCCTCTCCCTTTTCTCCTCCATCACTCAGAGGATGGAATCATGGAATCATTGAGGTTGAAAAAGACC